CGGAGCCCTAAATAAGATGAGCTCCGGTACTTCTTTTTATAAAATGAACCACAATTTAAAGGAAAAAAAATTAGAATTCCTAATGTTTTAGTTTAACAATAAGCAGACTTTGCAATACTTTATTTCCCTAGAAACACGAACTCATGAGAACATGAGACGTTCAAGTAAAGTCCCCTCACTCACATGCAGAAACCTTTCCCTTTAAGAAGGCCAATAAATTTGAGGGAGTTTGTTTCGAAACGCATAAATTTCTCGTCATGCCATCATAGCTACTGTATTGTTATCGACGCTTACAGTTAAATATCCTCGCAGGAAGGAAAATTTGTGTTCTTAAATGTGCGTTAAGTGACAGTGAGTACAATAAGAGTGAAATACTGAGATAAACTGCTCAAGCAAATCCTATACATCGTCTTCCCACAGTATCCACTAATGGGGGGAAAGCGTAAACAGCAACTTTACATTTATCCTTAGGAGTCAGATTCAGGACTTATTTTACCCCTGACATACATCTACTTGATGGCTATAATTATATCAGCAAAGAGCAGTGGTCAAAGAGAATGTTCTCTCTCACCAAAATTTCCCTCATTTTTTGTTTCCACCCACTCCTACCCTCATTCTGTTTCGCCCTAGAATTTTCATCAGCTATACTTTAAGTATATTTAATTTTTGTGATGATAAAAGAACTCCCCCCCCCTACGATAAGAGCTTAAATTGGGCAGGAGCCCACCGAATGTTGGCTCCGGTGCTTCTTAGTTTTTGTAATAAATCATAATTTCAGCCGGAATACACCGGAGCCCTGAATAAGAAGGCTGCGGCACTTCTTTTATGTAATTGAATATAACAATTTCAGTAGGAATTTCATCTCTAAAATTTTATTTTAACAATAAAATTACATTAAAAATCACTTATTAAATTTCAATTTATCTCTTTACATTTTATTTAATTTTAATTACTTCAATCATTAATTATTTCAATAAATAATAATTATCTAATAACTATCAATTAAATTATATTCAATTGATTAAATAACAATTTATACAATTAATTAAATAACTATTAATTAATTTGATAGTTAACTATTTAATTTAAAAATTATTAATGAGTTTAATAGTCATTTTATTTATTTATTTACTCTTGTTCCTTTTTGCTGACGGTCTTCCATAGGGCTCCGGCACTTCTAATTTTAGAAATTATGCTCTGACTAAATCACATACTGAGATAAACTAACAACAGTTTCATAATAAATGGGATAATCAATAAGTTCTTCAGAAAGTGACCTTGCTTTTTATCACAGCAGTGCCCCCACCCAAAAAAACTTTGCACATAGGTTACTCATCTTTCAGTCATATATAAAACTCAAATAATTCTCTAGTGTCAAATTTTGTCTTCGGCGTGTTGTTGCAAAGTAACTGAATAAGATTTCCTTCAGCAAAAGTAAATTCAGATGAAGCTTTAATGGTACTTGCATATTATAGCAACCACCTTAGTAGAAACTGCAAAATTATCAAAATGCGCAAATTCTAGCAGTAATCCACATACAAGGAGGAGTAACATTACACAAGGATTTCAAGAAATATGCGTTTTATTTATTTAATATTTTTTTATATTGTACATTTCTCATTTATTATTAAAATCTGTGAGTTTTCTTTTGATACGTTGATAATGTTTGCCAACTTAAGATAAATAGAGATAATTGGGGGAAATTTGACAAAAAAGTTACAAAAATCACCAACTTGCACCAAATAAGCAATTTTCACTTTTTTTCTTCTATAAAAATTACCTAATTGCACAGAGATGGTTACGTTAATATGCAAGTACCACTTTAACTCTGAAAACACCTGGATTCCTTTCTAAAGCAACTTCCATCAAAGCCGAATGGGAATGACCACTGAATACTGATAGTTTGACCTGGTTTGGGTTCAAACCAGGCAAATGGGCTAGCTGCATGGCTGAATTTTGTGGTTTTCTCCATGTTATGAGGCAGTTTTCCTCAAAGGTCCTCCATGAAGGCTTCTGTGTCCTTAGAAAGATAGACCTCATACCTTTGCCATATTCATGAAGCCTAATCTAATTTAATCATTCTAAAACCCCGTGAACTAATTATCATTCTATAAAACTACTGGAGTATTTCAAGACATCCCTACTAGCCACCCAAAGTCCTATCCCAAGTTGCTTCTGCGTACAGTTTGGAAACTCATTTACCCACTAGAAGCAAAAGAAAGTGAAGCAATCTCAAAGTAAATTCCCTCCCCCAACCAAAAGAAGTGACATAGAAGATTTTAGCTGATAAAAAAATGTTATAAACTGCCAATTAAAATAAAAAGAAAAGACAAAAAAAAAAAAAAAAAAAAAAAAAAATCACAAATTACAAAGAATGAAAGGAAATAAGGATTAGAATTCAGGGTCCAAAGTCGGATATCCTTAAACTTTTCAGATCCATTTAAATTTTCCCATTCAAGTTAGTAACTTGAATTCTAATCCTTAGTGAATACAGAAATACTAATATCCTAATAATACATAAAAAAATCCAAGTTTCATTCTCTTACTATTTGAATAAACTGAAAGCAAGTGCAGCAAAATTATTTAGTATAACAAAGTGCCAGAGAGATGCATTAAATCTATGCCAAAGAGATGCATTAAATCAGATTTTTGATTCAATACATGAAATATTTTCGTGACACAGAAATAAAATCATAGACGAGGTACATAATGATACATGAATGATGTTTTAGCATTTCTTGTCGAGTTAACAGGATGTTTAAATATTCTCAATAAAAAGCTGTATAGAAACAAACAAAACAAAACAAAAAAGACCTATCATACTTGTATTAAACCTTTCGAAGTTTAACTACACTGCGCAAAAATTCAACTCGAATTAAAATATTTCATACATTTCTTACATCTTAAATTTTGCCCTATTATTTCAAATAAAAAATCTTAAAAATATGCAAGAAAAATAGCATTTGAAGAAAGATGCCTTGATTTTAATGATTTGTAGTGCAATTGAAACAATTGTACTGCCCGAATTGTCAAAAATGCTCTTTGTCTCCTGAGCCTGTTTTATATACTGAATAAGCATGTGAACAATACACTAAATGGGAAACACAGATTGTACATTTCATACAGATCTTGGAAGAAAAGCAAGATTGGACAAAGAAAGTCTACGTAAAGAAGGAAAGGCTCCATAGACGTAATGTAAACCAGTTTGTCTTCTATGCCGCTAGAAAGAAGAGGGAAGTTTGCCAAGGGATTTGGCAACGGAATCTGTTGGCGAGAATTTCCTCCTTTGTGATGTACCTGGCTGAGATTTTCCACCTCCGCCACGTGTACAGGAAATTGAGGAACACGGGTTAAGATGAATCATTCTTTGACTTCTCGCGATAATTTAAACTCGAATTTTCGTGCTTTTTTGCTTTACTAGTTGAACTTGTATTATTCATATCGCAGTTTGATGTCTGATTTTATATCTGTCAATATGTAGGGGAAAAAAATGGAGTTGCACAGCTTTAAACTCTTGATAAACGTGACCGTCGAACCTGTTCGAACTTCGACATCAGCTTCGAGTTTTGGCGCTTTTTGGTGACAGATATTTCACACATGCGCAATTGTGTCTGAGGGAGCCACTCCTGCTGCCGCGAAGCTTTCCTTCTAAACAATACATATTCTTTGGTTTGTATTCCCCTTTGCAAAGTTTTTCTATATTATCTTAGGAATATTTTATATATCTAAGGAACTATTGGGGCTACAATACATGAGAAAAGGGAAAACTGTATTGAACTTTCTTTATTTTATCTTGCTTATCTAAGAAACTATTGGGACTACAATATATAAGAGAAAATGGGAAAAGGGAAACGTGTGTTGAATTTACTTCATTTGATACTCAGACACACTCAATTTAAACTATTTTTATGAAAAAAATTTTTTTCAAATGCGCTGCACTTTAAAATATTTTCCTTAAAGATGATATTGATGACCAAAACCATTTGAAGGGATAAATAATATTTCGACCATTACAGAAGTAAAATATTTATCGTGGATGTAAACCTATTATTGCAGCACAAGATAAAATCTAAAAACTGACTGTTTTATAGTGTTACCGAAATCTGGCTGTAATGGTTGATGACAATCTTACAGAAACTACTGAATAAATAAACTAGAAATTTTGGTTGGATCCTAGCAGAGCCTACAACCTTGGCGCACCCACTTATATGGCGCGTATCGATGTGTGTTATTTTCAAGTTGACGATTTTGAGAAACGTGCAAAGCAGTGGGTGTTTCTGCGCTTTTCTGGTTTGTCGCCAAGAATGTCGGCTCTCCTAGGATTTTACCAGAAATTTTGTTATAGCACATAAAGTCTGGTAATAACTACACTTTATATGCCATAACAGAAATACGTGAAATCTAAATTATCAAGCAAGCAGGAAGAAAGTACTAGGATATTACTTTATAACATAAAGTCACATTTTGTACCAGCTCAGACATCAGCTTATTTTCCTAACATTCCTAATTTATTCAATAGTCTTAAAAGATGTTTCAACTTCTACATGCTGGTCTAATTTAAAAAAAAAAAAAACTGACTGTTCATAGAAAGATTTCATAACTCTTATCTGTACAGTTAAGACAGTGACTGCAAATAAATTTAGGTTTCTGTTCTACTTTTCAGTTATTCACTACAAATTAAGAATTTTTAAATTATGACCCTACTCCTCAACCTGTTGAGATAATATTCACCTGAAAGGAATTTCATAGAATGTATTAAAATATTTCTGTGTCACATGCCATAAAATAATCATAACAAAGAGTACAGGTAAACGTTCTCCCTCACTTGGTAGGCATGAGGAACTCACATGTTTAATTACAAATATAGAAGGGCAAGCAAAGGGAAAAATTAAACGTATATATCAAATTAGAAACCCTGAAATTACATAAATTATTCTTTTCATCATCATTATTTTTTATAAGCTTACAATTAAAAGAGTTGACGAACATGATTAACTTACTTGAATTACAAATCGGTCTATCAAAATACACAAGTCATTTTAAATAGTTTCAGTTCGCAATACAGAGTCAATAGCTGTTATTTTAAGTGAATCATTGTAATTCATTTATTACATCAAAATTATGTATAATTACTACCATATTATTACTCGACGGTCTTATCTCTGTCGATATACTTACTATCTGCTTTATTTATTACACTTTCAACAGCGCTAAATTCATAATCTAAAGAATAACAAATGACAGCTCGGAAAAAAGTTCACGCATTTAAAATTCATGAAGCAATACAGGATTCACTCTGGATAAAATACTTGTACCATAGGAAAAAAAAACGGCAAACTGTTCCACACTATCAGACGATTTAACTCACCGCAGAAAAAGATTCGAAAGGCGAAGTATAAAACGCTGCCATAATCCAATGAGAATTAATGTATTTCCAGAGGCTCGGTGGGAACTCACACCAAGCACAATTTTTGCTCAATCAGGGATAGGGCCTTCGGCCCAGGCACTGGCGTTCTATCACCACTCCCAAGGACTTGTTAAATATGCCATAGGTGGTTCACCATCCCTTCAAACGTCAACGGTCAAATTTATCAAAGTCAAATATTAAATTTAAGGGGACTTTGCTGAAAGTTGAGAAGTTTGCATTTGCAATATATAAATAGTGTTTTGTAGCTTTTTCAAATATTAATTGCACAATAATCGCGGCTTACAGCGACACTTTGAATTTGGAAATATTTCAGATATATCTCTATCATATGTGCAAATATTGAGAACTCAATAACCCTTTCTAATATTGAAGGTGTTTTCGAAGAGAGGGTTCAGATCCTCCTTCCTTGGTAAATTACATTTAGAGTTTTATTGTTCAGATTTGCAGAGAATCTATTTAATATTAATTCATGCCAAAAAAATGGAGTTACCAGTCAGCTCCCCGATCGAACGAGTCAGAGTCGACAGCAACAAGTGGAACTCAAACGCAGGGCTGTTCCTGAGTTTCAATAACTCTGTTTCAATTTCCTGTTTCAATAACTCTGTTTCAATTTCCTGTTTCAATAACTCAATTCCAAATAAAATACAAATTTAACATGAAATTCTTAGGCAGGGGCGTAGCTAGAGGGGGGCAAGGGGTATCTGTCCCCGGGCGCAGAATCCAAGGGGAGCCAAACTGATGTTACGACATTTTAGAATTAAATGTTTTCCATCCTTGGCAAGCAGTAGGGGGCGCGAAATCTTCAGCTGTCCCTGGGCGCTTAAAACCCTAGCTACGACTGTGTTCTTAGGATATTTGGTTCACAGTTGTTTCCAAATGTTATAAAAGCTATATATTAAATATGGAATTAAATTATGCAACAGAATGTTTAAACTGTGAGCGCAAGATGCAAACATGACGAAAAATTTTGTCACAAAGCGGATTAAATTATAAAAATATTTGTGGCAGCACAAACTTTCTGATTACTATTTCAGAAAGCAGCTATATTATGTAGTCAGCTGTAAAAAGTTGGAGATAATTGCTTTTAAAATAAATAAGTTATCCCAATTCTTGCAACAGTCATATATTCAAAGATCTTATGGGTTTTAAGGTGTATGAGTCTCCTTAAAATAACCAGAAAATTTTTAGAATTAAAATTTTTTCACAATAGTCTCGTTGTTAAAACAATTGAAAATTCAAAATATTAATTCAAAAGTATTTAAATAATAATGCAAAATATATTAATCATGTTAATAGCCTTCCCCAAACAAAATCTTTATAAACCTTTAAATTCGTTACCTATTTTGTTAACATAATTATGAAAAATTAAATTTTTGATATCATAAAATGTTTCTTTACACCATAAAACAGTGCAACATTTTTAAAATTCTGTATAATAAGAAAAACAGCATTAGATTTATAAATTTTCGATATAATAACAATGATTAGCAATTCCTATATGATAAGGTACTATTCCGTTATAATGGTATGGTATTATATGATAAGGTACTGTAAAAAAAATGCAACGAAAATGTATGCGCAAAAACTCCAAATCTGGCAAACGCGCCCATTTAATAGTGCGCCAAATCTAGCGTACGCGCTGATTTCAGATTGCGTAAGTTTATATAGTTCTACATTTCTTAAGACGCCGTTGAAATACTAGTTTAATTTTTAAATCCTTTATTGATTTTAAATTCTTTTTTGATATCCTATGGACTTAAGAATTTGGGAATTGCCCATGACGAAAAGTGTGCAATAGAATTTTGGGTAAAGTTCAGAATCACCCAGTGCTTGATGCGTTTTTAAGAATTGCACATACTCGGTATCCATGCACACATCGACTTATTTTCACTTAAAAAAAAATTTCCAGAATTGCACAAAAATGGCACTGCGCACACCCTTGACCTATGTACACATCGACCTATTTTCAATTAAAAAGTAAAAGGAAATTGACGAAAATTGAATTGTTTTTACCCTTGTAAAAAGCTGCAAACAAATAAGTGGGCGATTCTGCACTTTACCGAGAATTTTTACAAAGAAAAGGCATCATTCATTATAGAAAATTATGTTTGAACAACCAACGATATGAAACTATGCTTTAGCGATAACTCGGTATCCAAATAGCGATGCAGGCATCCATTCAGTTATGTTTAGCAATTTTTATATACATCATAATCAGGGGCGTAGCTAGAGGGGGGCAAGGGGGCATCTGTTCCCGGGCGCAGAATCCAAGGGGCGCCAAATCGATGTTACGACATTTTAGAATTAAATGTTTTCCATCGTTGGCAAACAGTAGGGGGCGCGAAATCTTCAGTTGCCCCTGGGCGCTGAAAACCCTAGCTACGACTTTGATCATAATAATTATCTGAAAGAGTTATTTACTCTTATGCTTCCATTCAGTCATGTTTGGCCTTTTTTTATATAAATTATAATAATAAAAAAGCATTATATGAAATTAACCTTTCATCTAAATTAAAACATCAATCTTAGATAGTTGTTTACTATTATACTTCCTTTCTTGGCGTTAGGGTTGCCGCAATTATTTTTGGCAGTCCTGGCATCAACAATAGTTTGGCGATTTTTTACGGTCCTCAAAACCGAATAGTACCGATTATAATATACAAATTTCTAGTTGCATTAATTTACTTTATTAATTAAAGAGCTCATGTGAAATCTTAGATTTTGTAGCACAATTTGAGTTTTGTTCCGCTGAAAATGAACCTAATGCTACGATAATAATTTTCAGTTTTCTTTTGACAAACTATGCGATTAAGAAAATGGAAGTGAAATAATATCCTAGCCGACTACACTGTGAGGAAATAATTTAGTTGGTTGAAATAATTTGATATGAGACGAGTGTTTGATTAGGCAAGATATTATTTTTGAAGTCGCGAATGCATTGAAAATATCGAGGACCACTGAAAATATCGAATACGTAGTAGAAGATGACAGTAACTCTTGAAGGACTGAAAAATCACTTAATCCAAATATACCTTTATTACTTGTTGATTACTCTATGGCATGGCACATCACAATGGGGGCAATCTACACTCCACAGTTTTGTTGACGACGCATATTTTTAGTAGAAGCAGCCAAGCAAGAGCTGTTCTTTAACTAGCAAGCGTAGGCAGAGAAAAAGAAAAAGCGTAGTTGGATTGCAACGGCAAACTTAATAGCAAACTTTTTCTTTCATTTGATTGGCTAAGAACTATACGCAATGCAGATGGTTAAGATGGCATAATGCGGAATTAGTTTTCAGATATGACGCAGTTTCGAAAAAGTCATTACTACTTTTAGAATAGAGAGGGGAAGAGGAAGTGCCCAAATTGAGTTAAGGGGCTATTGCTGATTTAAAGTATGATTCCCAGCTATATATTTTTATCTTACATAAGAAATTGAGAGGCTATTGCTAATTTAAAGTATAATTCAGAGTTACATATTTTTATCTTACATATTTACTTCCAAATCCTTGGAATAAAAAAATTTAATTTTTTTTAAATGTGTTCAAAAAATTATCTGCTTTAAGCCAATAAGCAAATTTTTATGACCTGCAGTTAAAAAATATCCAAACACTATAAAAATTCTTTAAAATTAAAATTCAAAAAATTAAGTCTGAAAAACTGATAAACATTTTATTGAATTAAGTCTAAATTGCAGTTCATACAAAGAGAAAAAAAAGAAATTAAACGATATCAAATATTAATCAAATCACGGAAATAAACATTGAGTGCTACTTGAAAAAACTGCTTATTTTACAAAAATGATATTTAGGCAAAATTTCAGGCGTAGAATTGACCTATAAGAAAAAGTAGTAGCAAAGAAAAAATGCAGTAGCAAAGTCCAATCAAAAAGGATAATGAGACAACTCTGTATACAAATCTAATGTGTATTCTAATTTATCCTGAAAGGATATGAAAATTTCTGTTTATATTTCACCAATCGGTCAATAAGGAAAGAAGGTAAAAAACTGTCTAGCTTAATTTTTTTCCAGTATACACAGTACAGAATATAGACTTGAGATCTATCACACTATAGACTTGAAGTTTTCCAACTGGGAACTACACTGCTGGTCGCTAAAATTGCCACTACGGAAAGGAAAGCAAATAGCAGAAACTTATGCATTGTAAATATGCAGTATAATGCAAGAAAGACAATTAAATTCACAGGTGGTTTGAAGTACAGAGAGTGCAGAGTTTAGTGACAGAGCTGCTACCTCTGACAACAAAAACGGTTGAAATCAGATTCAGCATCGAATCGAACTGAGCTTGGATGGTACATACGGGTACTTCATTCCATGCGGCTTTACATATATGCCAGAGTAGTTGCTGGCGAGTGGTAGCATGCCAGTGTCTTTTCTCAACCAGTAACCAGATGTTCTCAATAGGTGAGAGACCTGGAGAATGTGCTGGCCAAGGTAACAAACACCCCTTTACACCCTCTGTATTGAGGAAGATCAGGACAACAAAGACAATTATCTTGTTAACAGTTCGCGTCACGCAGCCTCGAAGAGAGCGTACAGTCGTGGACCTTAACACATCAGAAATGTAAAGGCTGCTGTCTGCATTATCGGATATTTGAACAAGAAACGACCAGGATGTGTACCCAATAGCACCCTATGCTTTGCACGTATGGATGACGGTGAATATAAGCTGGGGACATTTGTTCTCCTCGGAGCCTCCAGACAAGTTTATGATGATGCTGTACACAGAACCAGGATCTGTTTGAAAAGACAACGATGTGTTCCTCCTGTGTCCGGTGTTGTCGTTTATCGCACCACTGGAGGTGCTCTTGTCTCTGCTGCATCGTCAAAGGAAGACGAAAAATGGTTGTCATGCTTACAATCCGTGGTGCTTTACATGTTGTCGTACTGTCCGTGCGGACACTTGTGGTCCTGCACGACCCTCCTGAACTCATCGATTCCATATTCGCATGACAGTCATTGGGATCTCGACCAACACGAGCAACAATGCCGACACGAGCCTAATGTTTAACCGCCGAAACTCTTTTACTAAAATAAAATCTACATCAGTTCGCATTACTCTTCCTGAATTCAGTTTTATTCTGTCATTTTTTTCCTCGAATGATTGTTGAACCTTAAGCCCTCGATTTTATATTGGAATTTGCTAAACAGCTCCGATTCGAACTTGGCTCTATCCTTTACGATGGGGAATGCCTTAATGCCTGCTTGAAGTTTTAGCTTTCGCAACAGGCTCATCCAGGACAAACTCGCCGATAAATTTATACCATAAAGAAGCCCGACCTCTAAGGGCGGACCTGGCAATGGTAACTTTATGAGCTTAATGGAACTGGATACAGTAGATAATTAAAGTTTATCTGCTTAATAAAATTTAGGACTGAGGTCGTTCCATCAAAAGTTGCTGCTGGTTTCATAGCAGCTCTAAGGATGTTGACAATAAATCCAAATCCCTCCACAGGATTCACTGCAGTTGATGGGGCTTGCGATGCTAAGGGCAAGGCATGAAAGTTTAAACTTCCTCTGACATAGTTCTACTTATTGTTCGGGGGCCAGTATACAGTCTCACTTTCTTTGGTGGCATAAACTCATGAGCTCTAGAAAGACTCGAGTGGAAGTATCCTCTTGTCTTAACCTGTACACATACAAAGTCAGAAGAAGGGTGGAAACAGCCCTTTTATTTGAACACAAAGAAGTGACTATGACCCAGCTTGGGCTTACACAAGCCAACACATCTGGCTTAACTTAAACAAGTAATGTTGAACTAAAATTATATGTAGGTAGATTAGCCTACCAGCTCACAGGATAAAGTAACACACAAGGTTTGTAGAAAACTGACGAGACAAACCTAGGCTAGAAACGCCACAGAATCAAATCGCTTATTTAGTCACGGTAACAACGTAGCCACAAGTAGGCTAAACACTCTCTAAAATCAACTGGCGAAACCTTCGCTTAAATAGCACTTGTTTCTCCCTCAATTTGAATAAACGCTATCACATTTACATTCTTGCATGAAAAGCGTTGGTGAAAAGGAGAGCGACAGGAAAGTTACTTTAACTCAAAATTAACTATTAGTTAAAAATAAATAGATAAATCCTCACAATCTTATTATCTAACATTGATTTATGTGTTTTGCCAAATGAGAAGATTGTCAGAGCATTTTACTATTAAGTTTGTGTACTTCTGTTCGTTTGTTGTTACAGACCTTGATACATTCCTAAACTCTCGTAGAAAATTCTAAGCTTGACATTGTGCAGATAGTTATTGCCTAATAAATCTTCACCACCTCGAAACCTCGACTCGTCGCATCATTTATCATAGTTCTCCTTTATAAATAACTTCAAAAATTTATAGATGGATTGAAAATGAATTATTCCTTGCGATGGACTGAGAAGAACCAAAGGTGAGAAGCTGATTTCGAAAGGAACGGATGCAAATGAGTCTTCTTCCCTAGACAGCCGATTGAAACTTTTTCTTAAAAATTTAGTTATTTTTATGCTGTAAATTGCCTAATATGCACAATACTTTGCTAAAAAAACACGAAAAAGGTCATGTAACGTGCATGAAATTTGCACTAATTGAATCTGGTCATTAAGATGAATTAGCATTCTTTCTATAAAAGAAACGTATGAAGTGACATTATCTGGAACTGTGCAGTTCCTGTTGTAGTGCAAACGAAATTAAAGCATATTTCGATCATTCAGGGTATTTGAGCAAAGAGCATTTGAGGAAGAAGCTCGAGTCTGGGAGCTTTGCAATTTCCAGGAAATAAGTATATCTTAAAACACCATATGATTTTCGTGACCAAACTAAAGCTAAACAAATGCTAATTGTAAAAGTGTATTTTTAGATGGAGATTTGTAATTGGAGCGAAGCGTCTAAACCATCACCATTATAATTATAAGACTTTAGGTAAGAGGAATCAGTGATAATTTTTAAAGATCTGCCATATTAGCTTTGAAGGTTTGAGTTCAGAAACTCCTTTTTCAGCTGCAGAAGTGAAAATGACGAAAGAGTAGTCGGTGTTCATGTGATACCAATGAAAACAATAGACTAGAAATTCGAGAAAGCATCTGTTCAAGCAACAGATGAAAGCATCTTTTCAAGCAACAGATGAAAACATAGCTACTGAAAATGACCACTGCTGGAAAATGGCTATCACACTAATTAACTTATCTTATAAAATTATTAAAGTAAGTTAAAACTGAAAAACAACAACAACAACAACAACAACAAAAAAAAAAAAAAAAGGAATTTTAGTAATTGCACATATAGAAAAGAAATTGGTAATTTCATGTATGAATGTAATTAACCTTTAATAAGATTTTTTTAAAAAAAATGAAGTTTTTATTTGCTTCTGTTGGGAGACGCTACAATAAAAATCAGCCTTTTTTGTGATTCATCAATCAATTTTACATGATTTTGTGAAATTATCTATTTTTTTATATAATTACCAGACCGAATATAGCGAACCGAATATTCGTTCCAGTGAAATTTCAAGATAGTGGGATTCGATTGTATTAATATTCTGTTTAATATAAATGTGAAGATTTTATAATTTTTAACTTTGAGAACAGCATTTACGTAACATAAATATATTTACATCACTAATATGCCGTACTGGGGAGAAAACTTATAAAACCACGGAAGGGAAGGCCTGGAAAAAGTTATTAAATCACGTAATGGAAGAACAGTTTCTTGTAAAACAACATGTATAGCTGAATGCAAGTGTTATATAAAACTTCACAAGAACTACTTGCGCGTTAGGAATTCTTTCTTAGAAATCTTTTTTATTGGTGAAGATGCAAGTCGTTTCGATTTTAATGCTCTTTTTCGTGGCTTATGTAGCTTCAGAACACGTTCGTTATACGGGATGTGGAGGTTAGTAACTTATGTTGCTTTTGGTAATGCTATTGTAGTTTTTTAAATATTTTCTACGTATGTTAAGCTCGAAACTTTTAATTTTAGTTGGAAATACAGTAATGAGTGTTAGTATTAGCCCTTGCAATGCAGTTCCAGTAGCTAATTTGATGGTTTGTTCTCTTAAGCATGGGATGAAAGTAAGAGTGGATGCAGCTATACTTGCGAGTAAGTATAAATTATGTTATCATTTACTTAAGTAATTTAGCAGTACATGGCAGCTTGTTTTGTTTTTCCATCTGAAAACTGATTTAAAGAAAAAAAACTTTAAAACCTAGCGTGTCTGATTTGTTATGTACCGAACATGCGTTTCTTAATAAAACTTAACAGAATCCCCATTTTTCAGCCACTTGTATATATTTATCAAATCGTTTACAGTACGTGATTTCTTAGATTTCTCGGAAAGTAAAATTATTTTTTATTTTGTGTTACCATTCTCAAAAATTACTTCGGAGTTGTCAGTTGTACTTTTTAGTACATGATATTGCAAATTTACTGTTATAAACTTCTATCTCAAATGCTGTATTTGTAGTCTGTAATAAAATGTTGAATGAGACTTTCGGGTAAAAGTGGAGGAAATATTCTTAATATATAGCTCTATCAGTATCTTGAGATCATTCTGTACCTCTCAGTTAAAAAAAAATAAACTTAATTCTTATCAGAAGTTCTACATTTAGTCTCATCTTAATTATATCCTCATGCCGCCGCAATATAACTAATATTAAAAGTGGCTTATTTCAATCGTTAATAGATTAAGACGGCAGGAGGACTGGAAGTTTTCATTCTTAAAACCACCCACTTCCTATATGTTCAAAAACTTCCTTCTCCTCAGTATTTCAGTTCCTAACACGAGCTATTATTCGTATTCTAAAACAGTTGTGCCGTTCATCCCTATTCTCATATGTAACGTAGCTTTTGAAATTTAGTCTGTTCAGAGTTTTCAGTTTTCGGTTAATAAATTGAACTTGAAAACTTAATCTTTAGCTTGAATTGTATTAACTTATTCTAAACCATATTAGGTCTATTTGCTAAGGAGAGAAGTCCTCCTAAAGGACTTCCTCACAGAAAATTGATTTCCATTGTCATTATGCATGAAGGACTAAAATTTCCATGCAGCCACCTGTTTTCTGGGTTTGAACCCGCGAAGTACCAGTGTTTCAGGCCTTTGTGTACGAATGATGGGCCTCCACTTTTGTTAAAGATTTGGTTTAAATGAGTATTAATATAAACGCATGAATGTTGGATTACCTAGAAATGAGCATGTAATGTTGAGCTTAGAAACTGTAGGTAAAATATTTATACGTAGTATTCTGTTGCATTAGAAATGTTTTTAGGCACTTAAAATTTAGTTACTTAAAGAAATTTTTTTCCTTAGTTGCCGATTGTTCAGAGTTGGAAACTGTAGTTTTAGCTAATATCAACGATCGAATGATCCCATTTCCGGATTCTGAAAGCAATCCTTGTTTGCATAACATATCACCAAGCTGTCCACTTGTGAAGGGAAGACTTTATTTGTACCACTTTGTTTTCGATGTGAAGAAATACTATCCAACGGTAAGTAAATTTCGGTGCGTATTTAGTTTCGTATTACCACTTAACATAAGTTTCCTCATTACCGCTTGAAAATAGTTTGTTTTTATGATCCTTTATGCAGTCAATCATGAAATTTCCCATTGACTATTTGTAATAGAGTGGCTGAGAAATTTTACCATAAAACTTCGAGCTTCAGCTTGATTTCATCTTGAAGCTTCAGTTAAGTACTTACGCCTCTGAAGAAACACCTCAGTTTTTCACTCACTCAGGGGCTACATCATTCCATGTTTATTTCCATAAAAGTTGGCAGTGCAGGGCAACTCTTATGAAAGTTGCGATAGTTGATTAGAAATTCCCTCATTACTTTAATAAGTCTTGCTTTGAATTACAACAAAACTAAATCAACCCTTAAACCGATTTCAAAATCGGGTGCGGGAAGGGATTTTGCAGCCTCAGATTAGTAGATTCCAGTATAATTAGAGCTCATCGCTAAAAACAAGTAAGTCGTGCCTGAAATCGCGAAATAGAGCTGGAAACCGTTAAATTAGGCATGCAAGCACAATCAAGCGAACAGAAAAGTTAATATTTATTAAATGGGATTTAAATGCATGTATATTAATACATTAAATGTTAGTTACTCGTGTCATTATAGCATGCTGAAATAAGAATTTTCAAGCTTGCTTAAAATATCATCTCCCGTGAAAATGTTTAGCCCATTTCCCTACTTCGTCAGAAGTGTGGGCAAGGGAAATAGAATAACAAATATTTCTTAACCACTACACTAGAATATTTCAAAATGAATTAACTGATTATGTATTAAATGTAAGGTTAGCTTTGATATTTTAAACAAAATTCCATATCATGAGTATTTAGTTGTGCAAATGAGAGCATTCCACCTAAAACAATTTGAACATAACTTTGATAGCATCAGCAAATCTTATCATATATTTGAGGGTTCTGAAGCAGCTGTATGTTAATTGTTAAATTAACAGAATTTCCTTTTAACCAACGCAAAATCTAGGGTATTGGATACCTGGCATATCCAAATACGGTTTGAGTAGATTATGATACTGAGAAGAAATGAATAACCCCCAATTTTTAAAGTATATTAAATGAGTTAACATTTTCGAACTTCATCATTCTGATTTTGTTCTAATCTTTTCCTAGGGTAACATGGAAGTTATGTTCTCCATTCGTTGCAAGAAAACCGAGGTTACCATCGCCTGTGTGAGACTACCTTTAATAATTCGAAGGAATCCCAAGTTAACTTACAGGAATTAACTACTTAAAAGATTAAACTTCCCGATTTAAAACTGGAGTCATTTCACGGAATCTCTAGACTGGAAGTTTTATTGTATGGTAAAATAACTTAAGTGCTGTGCATTTTACCTTTCAGAAAGTTTTCATTTATACTAGATTTCTTAATGTCAAATTCTGAAAGATTTTGGTTGTTTAAATAATAAATATACTCAAAAGGAAAATGTTCCATTTATTTAATGCATTTGCTCGAAATACACCTAGAGTTCTGAACCTTCATTAAAAATTATTGAAAGCGAATTGGTGTTAATTTGCTTTATAATTCTTGCAATTATTTTAATGCTTAAATGTATTTTATGCTTAATATAGCAAGTCTGGCAGAAGTTTTAATTTAAATGCCTTGATTACAGTAATCCTGCACCTAATTCTGCGAATTTGTTGGACAATTTCGTGAAAGACCTGGAGAGTTAAATTCTATTAATACTTCGACATAACTACCTTATTTACCTATCAACTAGCAAATATGTAGATGCTAAGTAAACCTAATTCTTTACTTGAAATTTTGCATGTACTAATATTTCAAGGTAAATATTAAATATGTAGTCGCCGTTACAATTCCTCCTCCAAGCAGGAAAAGTCAAATTCAAGTAACGAACACCTAATCTAGCAGTTTCTTTTTTAGAGTATCAATATGCTATTTAGCGATCAAGGATACTATCGTCAACTTCAATATTTAAGCTGAAGTGTGTTAAAATCCTGAATAGACATAAAAATAAGCACTTCGTACTCGAAGTTTGAAAAATAGATTATCTGAACTGCTACTTCAAAGATGTTATTGCTAGTGGTAAGAATTTGATTGATCAGCCGTGAATGCTAAGTACTTAAACTAGTGGTATTCTCTCTATTCGCTTCGACAGCTTTTATGAAATTACCCAACACTACTTTTGGATAATAAAGACTTATTAATTTCTATTTTAAAACATAGTTGTCTTGATTTTCCCGAAGGCAAGTATCCTACAGTAAAATTTTACTGGCTGCACATTAACAAATTGCCTCCTATACTCTGGTATAAGGTACAATTTTGCGAATGAACGTTTCGTATCGACCTGTTTTTCAATTTAAAATTTAAAGTATCTTAACATTTCGAGGCCGGGATAAAGTGAAATTTGATTGCTATGAACCTTCAAGTGGACATAATCCTAGATAATGTCTCCATATTATGTTCTTCAGCTATTTTCCCTATGATTCGCTTGAAATGTCCTCCCTTGCATGCTTTGCCGTAATCTGTTCTGCAAAAATTTTAGTGACATAGTATCTAAATTTTCATCTACTTCACTCTATATTATCATCAAAGTAACTTTAAACTGTGTAGTGATAATTTCCCAATTTTGATACTAAACTTATCAGGAATAAAGATCTGACGCCATTAACATAAATTGTTTTCATCACTTTGCGTTTTCACTGAATAAACCGATTCTGTAAGTAAACAACGATCAGCAATTCGTTATATTTTGTATACTGAACTTTCGACTTCTAAATTTAGATTTTGTGCGAGTTTACTCTTCACAGAAATTTAAAATTTTGTTTAATTAGTTCACGTCATTCAAATTCTCGTCGCTTGTTTTGGTTCAGAAATGAACTTTTCACTCTCCATGTCTTCCGATTATTAAGAATGGGACTTTTCACAGAACCTAAAAGTTCATTGTACCTTTTGTGCCATCACCTTTTACTCAAGGTTCTCCGGTAAAACCTCGCTGTTTCTATACTAAGTGTATTTACGATTTCCTTTACTATGATTGTAATAAGAAATTGGTCTTGTATCAAAATTTCAAATTTCTACTTTATAACGCTCGCGAATGTTGCTGAAATTGTAGGAGGCTAAGTAGTATATGTGTAAAGATTCTGTAACGAATCTAATTTAACTTTGAAATCGTTATTCGAAGTCCATTTAAGTTTTTAATCTAGTTCTTTCGAAATGTAGTCCTACTACACTTCACTGCTATGCGTAATTCTACAATGGCTACGGTCATTGGTGACCGAGAGATAAGATCCCTGAGCATTGGTAGCTCCACCCGTGTAGGTGCCTCTGAGAACGGACTGGTTGAATGAGATTTCGTGTTTTTCTCCTCCCGTAACGTGAATACGAGAGGTTTTCCTTGGTTTTTTCGCAAAGGCATCTGTGCCTCTAGACGGATAATATTCTCCTGCTTTGCCATAATTAGCGTAACTTATAATCCATCTGAAGTTCTGGACTTTCATTTGGAAGACCGATTAAAAGCTACCGAGATTTCAAAACAATTTAAATCTCAGGATAACCATGCTGCCTGTTGCAAGAATACTACCTTCTTTGATGGTCAACCTTAATTCTTCAGGCTGTCTTCTAGCAGTGATACAACGGCTGAAAAGTGAAATGTTGATACTTCGCCCTAGTTTTATTCCCAGCTGTTGAACAAGATGACTGTACAAGGATTGTTTTCTTGTATGTAAAATAGAAGGCCAGTTTCCCTTCAAGTCTTGTTAAATTTTCTCTACGCAAACACTTTAGTTTACTTTGCTAAAATTTGATCTCATCTTCAGATATTTTGTGCCTGATACTATGGTGCTCGGAATTTTGACGCTTTCATTTGTCGATCCAAGAAGGCTTGGACTTGCAAAGATTTAGTATATTATAGCTAATGTGGTTATCTTCCTAACAGAAGAGATGACTTTCTGGAGGGCTTTCTAAGGGAACCCTCATATTCCCGTTACATAAATTTAATGAAAAGTGTTGGAACATAAGTCTGCGAATGATATTTCCATTCACTTAAGTACTGATTAATCTATCGATTTTCTCTGGTTTTTATTTATAATTTTCTAAACAGAGCGGTAATATTATCCTGTAGTTAACTTAGCTCTGTAAAGGTAAACTTTGTGGAAAAGTCGTTTGGGCATTGTAAAATAATTAAGTAAGGAGTTTCAAGTTTACATCAGTATTCGGAGGGAAGTTTTTGAGTGGAGTCTCCTTTCTGAAAATGGTACTGATGAAATTTTCATCGATAGCATTGCTAGTCTAGTGTGTTAACCTTTAACACTGTAATTTTTCTTTCCTCGAATGAGAGCAGAATTTCTTCTAGAGATAAAACTATAACAGCTCAAAACCTGGGACTATGACAAATTTTTGTGAATTTCTCAAAGGTAACAAGAATTTTTACTTTCCCTTAAGGCAATGGAATTAATATTTTTTAAATAGTAAGATATGTGCGAGTTCCATCCTTTCTTTAAAGAATTATGTCAAGAAATACCGTGCCCCTTTTTTAGTGGCTTTAATAATTTTTGGACTATAAAATTAATTCCTTTCCTGATTAATCTTTTATAGTAAATATCCCATATGCCTGTTCAGCATATATACTATAAGAATAATTAACATAATCGGAAATCAAAGATTCTTTTGAGGTTTTTGTTAATACCTGACAGAAGTGCCTTGAATTTGTTGCTTAATTACGGCAACATTTGCGTTAGTTATCTGCCTACAGACATGAATATCTTTGAAAGAATTTTTATTAGTGAAACTAGTTCTAGTTTGTCTAAAACAATCTAATTACTGCAAGTAAGTTTTCAACAACACTGAACCAAAACGACATGAACTATATCACTGTAGCTGCCTTAACCACTTGGCTGTAAGTGAATCGCGCATAAATTGACCCCATCCTATTATTTTTTCTTGTTTGATAAAATTCCCAACTTTTAAGCAACTTAATATGCCTCTTGGCAGCAGACTGGTGATCAATAAATCAGTTCAAAAGTTCGAGATCCTACCATATAAATATATCATGCTCTTTAATTTTCTGTGTGTGAAAATTTGCTGGGAAATATTATGCAGATGCGATGGGAAGAAGGTTACAGCATTACAGGTACATTATGCAGTCAAACGTCTTTAAGTTATTTCGGCACGTATTACTTTATGAAGACTTGCAAAATTCATTCATTATTAGAACTGCAACAAAAGGACTTGCAATAAATGGACAAAGCTTTTCTCAGAACCGTTAATAAGGTTGTTTTTTAAATTTCTAAACCAATATCTTGAGGTCCTTTAAAAATAGATTGGAACAGAGAAATCCGAATCTGACGATAAGTTGTTGCTTTTCCGAAAAGTTAATTTTATTACGAATTCTGAGTAGTAGCGGTAGGTCATCTTACTAAATGCTGATAGTTGCCATGGGTTTGGCTATCCGCGACTTAACGACCCGATTGTATGCAGACTTTAATAAGTGTAACATGTCTCTTTTCTTTAGGCAACGGGACCCATGAAAATGTTACTCCTCTGATAGTTGATTTCCGAAGATTGCTTTGCAGGATGTCTTCAGGATGGATTTTTCTAAAGGAAACTGCTCGTATCCACATTACACACGGGGGGGGGTAGACAGCGAAAACATGCAGCCAGCCCGTTTACCTAAAATCCAAACCAGATCGAACTACCAGTGTTTAATTATAGGCGACTAGTGGTCATTTTTATCTGAAGCGGGTATATTGGGAAAACGGAAAGCCCTTTTTGCTGTGGAAAAGAATGAAACTGAATGCAATTCTTAATTACATCTGAATCGACATTTTAAATTTCAGCTAACACGTAAAATTAATGTTGATTTTAAAAACATTTACAGTATAATCTGAAGCAGAATTTGTTCTAATTTGAAATTTGGGAAGGATATCGATGTCACGAAAAAGTTAATGCGTCTTGAATGCGAATTCCGTTAAGTTTGTTCTTCCGTTTGTGTTGTGCAAACGGCAGATTTGCGTGAATCTAAACAAATGTCTAATTTTACTAGTAGGCTCACCAGCGGCCGAGCGGTAAAGTCGCTGAACACTGGTACTTCGGTCCGAGGTTCGAATCCCGCGAACGGGCTGGCTGCATGGGCGTTTTCGTGGTTTTCCCCATGTGTAACGTGTATACGAGCCAGTTTCCCTTAGAAAGTCCTCCACGAAGGCATCCCTTCCCTTAGGCAGATAGCCCTAGTGTGCTTTGCCATAATCAAATACACCAACACCATTTTACTAGTATACGGAAGAACTTAAATTCTAAAGCACGTAAGGGCTTACTTCTATCTCTGCTTTGATTAAAAGCATTCTGAGGGCCTCGCACCCCTCTTTCACTACAACCAACAGGATGGATTCTATTTTAATGTTATAAAGACCGCATACACTTGCAAGAGTCCATTCATTATGTGGGATCCGAATCCAAGCCCAAACA